GCACATAGTCACGTGTGATTGATGTTCAGTGGGTTCGGGTCGGGCGTACGTCACACTGTTTACTTCCTCACATGTGTTTACCACTTCCTGTCTGCATGTGATACCACTACCTGCCTTTAAGCTCTGTGGCCACTGTCACATATGCGCTCTACCCCAAAGGACCACGTGACTTATTTTGGTGGTAAGAGGGTTGAAAAATCACTAATTGTCTAGACCAGGAAATGGTGATTAACGATCCCACTGCTGCTACCAATTGTCACGGACAGTGGACCAGGGAGGGGCACCAAGGGGGTACAGGGACATAGGAAGGGCCGGATGACACGCGGGCTATCAACGTCCTTCGGCCTTCCTCTGAGATCTTCCAGCACACTGGCAGATGGTCGAGAGAACCTCCAGAGTGCCTCCCATGCCGCAAGCGGGACAGTAAGGCCGTACAACAACACGCACACACAACTAAACTAATCTAAGCTTCCACCACCCACAACTTCCAGGCTTGTGGGGAACCTTTCCCTGGACTCTCCTAGTACGTACACTCTGCCCTCAAGCAGACTGGTACCCAGGCTTTGCAGACAACACACTCTGCTCTCACTAGCAGGTACAGGTTAGCTAAACCAGGCACAATTACCTCTAGAGTTAGAACCTCCACTCACAGTCTCCTGCACTGCGATGATTGTAAGGTGCTTAAAAAAACGTACGATCTGCCTATCTTGCATAGGCAGATCATACTTGCGATGATCGCAAGCCACGCCCCCTGAGGGGCGGGCTCCCGATGACCGCAATGCCGAACGGACAGTGTGCGGCTTTTATCGTACGGACATGCCACAAACCCGCCGAACATCGTAAGGTCGTGCGACCTTTCAGTAGTAGAGGTCGCATGGCTTCCACACACCTTACAATAATCGTACGATCGCGGGAGTTCCCGCGATCATCGTACGATTATCGTAAGGTGTGTGGGGTAGGGTTGCCACCTGTCCTGGATTCACCCGGACAGTTCGGGTTTTGAATGCTGTGTTCGGGTTTCCTGGCAGCAGAAACCCGGACACAAGATGTCAGGCAGACAGGGGCAACCAAAATTAAGACAGGGGCTACTAGCCCCCTACTGAAAATAGTCTCTACTGTGATATTTACATATGAATGGGCGGCACTTTTTACATTTGAAAAAGCCACGACTCATTCTGCCACAAAAATGACCGTGCGTTGCTGGAGTGTTCGGGTTTCGCTTGAAGAAAAGGTGGCAACCCTAGTGTGGGGACTTTAATGGTTGTGTGGTAGCCTAAGGGGTTTCCTCACGCCCACTAAGATTCCCCAAGCTATCCTCTCAGCTAGAACCTTGGCGTACCCACTTCTTCCACTGCCCACACACACCCCCACCAGACACACGGATCCCTGCCTGGCAATGACTTACAACCGAGCTTCCAGACCCCGATGATACAATCAGCTATACACATACATCAGACACACAATGCAACAGACTTACACGTCCACGGTCCAGCGCTGCGTGGCGGGGCCGCGCACGGCCAGCTCAGCTTCTGGCTCCTCCCCGTCAGGGCCGTAATGGACGGCAGCCGGCTCCTCCCCTTCAGGGCTGTTCAGGAGGGATTTAAGGGAGCAGAATTGATTGTTTGGCGTCAGACCGTTGTGAACGGTGCACGCGGAACTATCAGAGGACTCCACAACCGCAAGTAGCCTGAGGGCATTTGGACTGGTAACCATTGGCTTAGCTGATAGAGATCAGCATTACATTGTGCTGGTGTGAAATTGACTGCACTGCATACAACTCAGCTTAAAAGGAGAACTATGGGGTTAAGTCTTTTCCCCATAGTTCTCCTTTGGGTAACGGGAGGACACAAACTAGCGTCCTCCCGTCACCCTAGGCTCAGTATACCGCGAGCTGTAGCTCGCGGTGTGACGCCGCAGTGCTGCTCGCGGTATATTGAGACGCCGCAGCTGAAGCTGATCCTGACAATTGTGCCGGGATCTGCCCAGCTGCGTGACTGACAGCTGGCTCTGCCTATCTAAAGGCAGAGCCAGCTGTACCCGCCCCCTCCCCCGTCCGTTCTGCCAGTCAGCGCTGGCAGATCGGAGCGGGGAGAGGATAATCCAGCCACTCCCCTGTCACGGCAGAGAGCCGTGACAGGATCGAGAAGTGAGCGAACGCCGGTATGTGTTCGCTCACCTCCCGATCTACTGAGCCGACCTGTGACAGTCTCATTGTCACAGGTCGGCTAGAACTATGAGGTGAGTGAAAAGCACTCGCCTCATAGTTCTCCTTTAAATGACTTTTAACTGATATGGGAAGGTATTGTTACAGCCTATTCCTCTGACATAGAAGCTCTGCAAGTAGCGTGCAACAGGAACGGTGAAGCATATGTACTGCTGATAACTCCTGCTGAATGCCATTCATGTGCACTTGTAACCCATTATACCTTGAGCCTGGGGAATTAACCTCTGCTCTGCTGGGGAGCGCTGCTTAATTACTTTACTGGAACTGTGATCATTATCTCATTACTCCATTGCATGCAACTGTGTGTTTTAAACTCCTGCCGAGGTGACGTTGTGTTGAACTGTGTGGCATATCTTCTTAAAAGCACTTATACTGTCTGTACTATATACGCTAACCTGACTTGGAAGGTCTACAGAACTTAGTTCACCTTAACTTAGTGTGGGGTTAGGAAAGAAACGCATGTTGTATGCACCTGCTCTCACCATATAATACATAGTACCACTATAGCTAGCCAAAATTGACGGGGGATGATGTAATTGATTCCAAACCCTCCATTAAACAGTATATGGAGTGTGAATGAAGGAATCACAAACAGATCCCCGCCATTAATAAAACTAACTCCACAGTTGAGTGTTGTAGCGCCCTCTAAAATGTCGCTATTCAATTTAGAGATACCTGGACTGTAACCAGTCTAGATACTGATTATACAGAGCTCTGCACTCTATAGGTGTCCCTGAATCTGCTGGATTGATTGCTCCTCCTGTTGCTGAGGAAAAGATTCCAAACCCTCCATTAAACAGTATATGGAGTGTGAATGAAGGAATCACAAACTGATCCCCGCCATGAATAAAACTAACTCCACAGTTGAGTGTCCAATTACAACCAGACAGATCATTACACACAACAGTCTCTTCAGATTTGTGCGTTCTTTTAGACCAATCAAAAACCAGCTTATTGATTTCATAAATGCACACACATGGACTTGATGGACCTATGTCTTTATTCAACCTCAAATACTATGTATTTAATAACCCCAGACGGGCCGTGCAGAGAAAAAGGTGATTACACAAATAAGATGTTACACAATGAGACGCACATACATACAAGCCAACAGTATGAAAATATAACGGGATAAAACTTACACAGATTATGCTTAATCCTGCTCCCGGGGTTGGATGGAAAGACGTGGACACACTCCCATGTCAATGGACCCCTTGAATGTGACAATTTTTTGGTTTCAGATCTCCGTTATTATACTAGGAAGATCAAAACCAGTCTCCACCCCCTGAGATCAGCCAATCAGATGGAAGGGGCTGGAGACTGAATAATGGCATCTGGGCCATGCGGTATCTTTTTCCTATTGATCATCGTGGAACCCTCATAACGGTTTCTAGTTATGAATAACAGATCCGAAAGTGACGGTTCTGGTTCCAGCTATTGTTCTGCTATCCACAGAGTCCAAACTCGGCACTCTACAGCTAACAGAACCAGAAATACCATAAAGAGACCCAATGTTCAGAACTCCTCCATACTGTATGATAAAACCCTCATGTTTAGTATCAGTCAGGTAACCTTTGTGCCACCGTTCTTTCCCTGAAGGTTCCACGATCATATGATGTATGGGGGAGGAGTTATGACATGTGACCTTTTTTAAAGAATTTTGAACATTAAAACACCTACAAGGTGAGGTGACACTTTTTTCAGTCTGGTGGAAAAACCCACCAGGAGACGCTTTGCAACCTCCAGGAAGAGAATACACTGCTGGGGAAGCACAACAAACCCACGTGTGATTTATTTAACACTCTCTAGCTAACAAGTTCATGTAAATTTTGTCAGCTTCTCGACTTCATTCAGTACAAGAAATTGATTGACTCCGGATGTCAAAACTAAAGAATGAAAAGCAAACTGAATGAATGCACCAAATTATAATGTACAAACATTACTGTATACAGATATCTGACATTTTGATAATATTATAGAGTGATTTCTTATATACACCGGACTCATTTATTTCATATCGGTCACGCCCCTTCCTAGTAAATGTACACATTAGACATGACTGTAATTAATTCTTGTATGGTGACTCTATTCCATGGATCATCTATCTTCATCAACAGAGAAACTTCCTCTTCTCCCTGGAGATTCTGCCACATTTCCTGTAAGTGATCAGTACATAGAGTAGAGCCCAGATCTGAGCGATCAGCCCTGACCAGCTGCTCACAGCACAGATTTATACCACAGATTGTAACTTTCACTTCTGGAGAATCCTATCACCGGGAATGAATTATCTTATCACATCCAGTCCATTCCGGAGCTTTATACTGCAATAATGAAAAGTCTCCAGAACACACATTATTACCTCAGTAATACCCACACCCTGGTAGAGACATTCTTATAACCTCAGTGTCCCCACCACACATTATTCTCTTAGCAGTGTCCTCATCACGAAACACTCTTTACGCCCCTGTATTCTACCTCTTTCCACAATGTCTGTACTACATTCTGGGAACCCCTTCCCTCATCCAAACAATATGCTAAGCTCTCTCCACATAATATTCCCTGACACCCCCCCCCCCCCATCCACCCTACATTCTCTGACAGCTCTCCCCCCACCAGCCACACTACATTCTCTGACACCTCTCCTCCCACCATCTACATTACATTCTCCGACAGCTCTCCTCCATACGCTCACCCGTGTGACTTCTCTGGTGCCTAACAAGGTGTCCTTTATGAATGAATGATTTCCCGCACTCTGAACATGAATAAGAACGTTCACCAGTGTGAATTCTCTGGTGCCTAACAAGCTCTCCTTTCTGAATGAATGATTTCCCGCACTCTGAACATGAATAAGGTCGCTCACCTGTGTGAATTTTCTGGTGTCTAACAAGATCTCCTTTATGAATGAATGATTTCCCGCACTCTGAACATGAATAAGGACGCTCACCTGTGTGACTTCTCTGGTGACTAACAAGGTGTCCTTTATGAATGAATGATTTCCCGCACTCTGAACATGAATAAGAACGTTCACCAGTGTGAATTCTCTGGTGTATAACAAGGTCTCCTTTATGAATGAATGATTTCCCGCACTCAGAACATGAATGAGGACGCTCACCTGTGTGAATTGTCTGGTGTATAACAAGGGCTCGTTTATCAATGAATGATTTCCCGCACTCTGAACATGAATAAGGACGCTCACCCGTGTGAATTCTCTGGTGTATAACAAGGACTCCTTTATCAGTGAAAGATTTCCCGCACTCTGAACATGAATAAGGACGCTCACCTGTGTGAGTTCTCTGGTGTTTAACAAGGTTTCCTTTATGAATGAATGATTTCCCGCACTCTGAACATGAATAAGAATGTTCACCAGTGTGAATTCTCTGGTGTAAAACAAGGTTTCCTTTCCGAGGGAATGATTTCCCGCACTCTGCACATGAATAAGGACGCTCACCTGTGTGAATTGTCTGGTGTTTAACAAGGCCTCCTTTCTGAGTGAAAGATTTCCCGCACTCTGAACATGAATGAGGTCGCTCACCTCTGTGATTCTTCTGGTGTAAAAGAAAGTCTCTTTTGTGAAAGAAACATTTTCCACACTCTGGACATGAATAGCTTTGCTCATCCATGTTAATACTTTGGGGTCTATGAAAGTTTTTGTTTTCAATTAAAGATTTCCCGCACACTGCATGTGAGAAAGGATTGTCACCTCTGTGCTCTCCTTTATGGGGTGAGGAAGATTCCTTGGGATTAGTTGAATCTCTTGCAGTGTGAGATCTTAGATGGATATTTCCAGTCATAGTATGTGAATGATCAGAAGATTCACCCTGATCAGAGGGATCCATTGATGTCTCCAAACAGTGAGGTCTGTGATGTATATTTTGTGTGATTGGATTCACTCCTGGAGAATCCTGTGTGATGGCATTATCTTCTGACTTACAATCAGCAGATAATATAAGATGTCTCTCCGAGGTATTCCTGACATCACATCCATCTGCTGGAGAGAAATCATTACACACGTCAGCAATCAGAGTCATGTATGTTGGTCTAGAAGTCATCACAGAGCTCTGGCATGGAATTGGGTACAATGTAACAGGACATGTAAAAACAAATGAGTTAAAGCATTAAACACCCAAAACAACTCTGACACACTGGGCAAAATAGTTTTCTAAATTTATCACGGCTATGGAGAATAAGAGAGATGGACCTTCATATGGTGTACAGTATCTCCTCCTCATTTGTTGGTCACATGACGTTATATTGAGGAATGGAGATGGACCTTCATATGGTGTACAGTATCTCCTCATTTGTTGGTCACATGACGTTATTTTGCGGAATGGAGATGGACCTTCATATGGAGTACATTATCTCCTCCTCATGTGTTGGTCACATGACGTTATATTGAGGAATGGAGATGGACCTTCATATGGTGTAAAGTATCTCCTCCTCATTTGTTGGTCACATGACGTTATATTGAGGAATATATTTTCGTATTCACTATAAAATCATGTTCTCTCATTGGGTGACGCAGCATTTAAATTCTGGATACATGTCCTGCTTCTGGAAAATTGGAAATTGGGGAAAATAAAAAGGTACAACTGCACATAGTGGCTGTACCTGTGTGCAAATTGTGCAAGCCCAGGAGTAGCAAGCAGTGAACGTATGACTGGAAAAAAAAATAACCTTCTTAAACTATCATCTTAACTCCGGGCAACAAAGTACAAAAAATTATGGTCAGGATATGTGAACCCTCCGGAACTACTGGAGAAAAGGATTAAACAAGGAGTCAAAAAGTCAATTTTTCTCCCATTGTTAGTTCGGGGGACACAGCGTCTGACCTCAATCAAAAGTTCCTTAAAATGACGAGGAAAAAAAGAAACCCAAACGATAACCCTCAGATATTCTTTTTTGTCTCTTACCTTCGGTGCGTGAGAGCAGCGGCGAGTCAGCGCTGGTCCGGTGGGAGGAGTTCCAGGTGGGGTCCTAATTTAGCTGGCCGGCGACTGCCAGAGAATCCCGACACGCGCGCCACCTCAGGCACTCAGGGGTCGGGGGAGGGAGGGAAGGGGTTCGGGGGGTGGCGCAAAAATGCACCTTGCCTGTGTAGGCAAGAATCCTAG